ATAAGATTCTGGTTTTTTGTGCTTTTCCGCCTCCGCATACTGGTACGCACTTAGCTATAGAGCTTCTTGAAAAGTTTAAGGAATGGGGAATAGAAAAGAAGGTGTTCTCTATAACTTTAGATAATGCTACTAGCAATGATAATATGCAGGAGATTTTGAAATCACAACTTCTGTTGCGTGATGATTTGGTGTGTGGAGGAGAGTTTTTTCATGTTAGATGCTCAGCTCATATTCTTAATCTCATTGTTCAAGATGGGCTGAAAGTGATTGGTGATTCTTTGAGGAAGATTAGGGAGAGCATCAAATATGTTGGAGCTTCTGAGTCTCGTGAAAATCTATTTGCGAAATGTGTTGAAAGAGTTGGTATAAAATCCCAAGCTGGTTTGATATTGGATGTCACCACTCGATGGAATTCAACCTACCATTTGCTTGAAAGGGCGATCAGATATAGAGATGCTTTTGTGAATTTGAAGATCATTGATGGAAAAAACTACAAGTTTCTCCCAACAGAAAATGAGTGGCATGTAGGAAAGATGATTTGCGATTTTCTGGAGCCTTTTGATGAAATAACGCGTCTGATGTCAGGTTCTACTTATCCCACTTCAAATTTGTATTTTATGCAAGTTTGGAAGATTCAAATTTGGTTGAAAGATCATGCAGCTCATATGAATGTGGTTATTAGAGAAATGGTTAAGGTTATGCAGGAGAAGTTTGACAAATATTGGGAAGAGTACAGTGATATTCTTGCAATGGCTACTGTGTTTGATCCGAGATTCAAGTTTACACTTGCAGAATATTGTTTCTCAAAACTCGATCAGGGAACTTGTGAAGAAAAGCTGAAACATTTGCGTGGAAAGCTGACTACTCTTTTTGAAATTTATGAGAGTAAGTTCAAGTCTGTATCACCATCTTCAAAAATGTGTGAAACTGTCCAGCAAAAGCAAGCTGAGGAATGCAATGAACAAAGAGGAAATTTTATAAACTACAATGTAAGTAATTCACTTTTATATAGATGTTTGATTTTCATACACTATTGGCTTATACGATTTTCTTTTCATGGAACAGGATGTCTTTGCTTCTCGTAAATCAAATGTTGCTATTAGTGGGAAATCATCCTTGGTATTGTATCTGGAGGAACCACTATTGGACCCGGCGAATTTTACGAGTTTAGATATCTTGACCTATTGGAAAGATAACTCTTAGCGTTTTAGAGACTTGGCTGCCATGGCTTGTGACCTTCTCAGCATCCCTATCACAACGGTAGCTTCCGAATCATCTTTCAGTATTGGATCTCGAGTTTTAAACAAGTATAGAAGCCGTCTTCTTCCGAAAAATGTTCAAGCTGCAGTCGCAATTGGTTAAAGGGGTTTGAAGCATATGAAAATGGTAATCAAATAGTTTTTGCATAAGCTTTGAAATTGCATGTTTATAAATTTTATACTAACTATATATTACTTTATTTGATATGCATAGAGGAGGATGAAAAATTTGATGGCGAAGAAGAGACATTACCTTCTTTTGAATCGATTGTTGATGATGATGATGGCTGTTGATGAAGAAAATTGCTTTTGAGATTCAGTTTTCTCGGATTTGTTTCGTTTGTTGGATTGTTGCTTTTGGGATTTGTTTTCTTGAATTTGTTTCAGTTGGCTTATTGGATTGTCGGTTTGCTTATGCATTAAAATTGAGTTGTGACTTATGAATTTTGTTTTATTCGACTTATGTTTACATAAGTTTCGTTTTTAACAAGTTCAATCTTGTTTGATGGTATCTTTAATTGTTATGGTCTTATATAAGCTATATAATATAGCTGTGTAGCCTGTGTTTAAACTTTAAACCTGAAACATAAAGTAATAAGTCGAACATATAAACCTGCAGCTTTTATAAAGAAACATCGTCTTGAAACATATAAACCTGCAACTTTTAAAAACCTGCAACTATATGAAATATATAAACCTGCAATTGTGTGTGTGTGACTGCAGAGTCAAGTCTTGCATCAACTTATCAGAGTCGGTTGATTATTCTAAGTCTATCTCCCCCTATTGTCAAAGAATTGTATCACTTTTCTCAAAAATTTAATACTCTTCAAAATATCTCTTCACGAACGGTGGAAAGAAAAACAGGAGGAAGACTTACGATTTTTATGTAGATTACCACAAGTTGTATATTTAAATAGTAAGAAGTCCGGTTTACATTTTCAAACCAATATAAATCAAATACCACAAACGTAGTCACAGACTCACAGCTAGGCCTACTCACAGCTTCTTTCACCGAAGCATCTTGCGTCAAAGAAACCACCAGCTGCACCAATACATTAATCCGCGGGTTGATCCGCATAGTCCGTAGAATTTTGCGGAGCGGATTTGGACATCTCAAGTGCGAACCGTGACCCGCGCGGGTCAACCCGCTGCAGTTCAAAGAAGAAAGAAACCGCTGCGGTGCGGGTCATTTGGGCGCGGATTAGCCCGTTTGACACCCCTAAGCAAGATACAGTTTGCTTAAGCAAAGTACTCGTGTAAATCCATCTACATATATATACAGCATGAATGTATATTATACACTTACGCATCAAGAAACAATAAAAAAAGAGAGTGTGGCCTTACATTACAAAACACACACAAACAATGCTTTTTGGTTTAATTACTTAATCAAATAATAGATCTATAAATTAATATTTCTATAAATTAATAAATTTCCAAAACTTTTCATGGCCCAAAACAACATTATTAATTTGAAATATACTGTATTAATCACAATTTATATGAATACTTTTGGATAAAATTATTATCATCCCAGTTTTATCATACTTAAGAATTCTTATTTACGAAGATGATATATTTCTTTACAAGAAATAGGATATAGCACTACATACAATTTAAACTAAAGCGTAATATTTCGATTACTGCTTTTATAAACAGATGAATCATTTTGTTTATTATGACCATCTCCATACAGAAAAAATGAACAAAGACTAAGCGGTAAAATCGGATAACTCTTTTTTGTTAAGCCCAAAAATCCCTCCAAGTAAACATTTCTTGTCAAAACTCTCTTCTTACTTCTCCATCGCTGAGAATTTCGATTCAATTAGGGTTTATCTTTGCAAGCGATGGGTCGTTGTTCATCGGAATGCTTTGTCTACTTCGTCCTCTCTATTGCTTTAGCTTTCATGACCGTATCCACCACTCTGCGTTCGCCTCCAAATCCCGACATCACAAAACCAAACAGACCCATTCCTTATCCTCTCTCCTTAAACGCCTCAAACGTTCTACGTCAATCCAATTTCAAAGCAATCGCAACTCTCCTTCAGATCTCCCCCGAGATCTTCCTCTCTTCTTCTCCCAACACAACCCTTTTTGCCATCGACGATGCTGCCTTATTCAACACGTCATCGCTACCTCCTCTGTTTCTCAAACAGCTTCTTCAGTACCACACAATCCCTCTAAGGCTTCCGATGAAGGACCTTCTCAAGAAGCCTCAAGGAACCTGTCTCCCCACGCTTCTCCGTCACAAGAGCGTCGAAATCTCCACCGTCGATAAAGAATCAAGAGCAGCAGAAGTGAACCATGTCCTGATTTCGCATCCCGACATGTTTCTTGGAGATTCGTTAGTTATTCACGGAGTTCTTGGAACTTTCTCTCTCTGCAACCTCATTATATCCTCCAGTCATCATTGTGTCAGTCTGATGCAAACAAAACCAGTGAAGAACAAGTCCCGGTTAAGATAGATTGGATTCGGATCGTTCAGCTTCTAAGTTCAAATAGGTTTGTGCCATTTGCAATTGGATTGCACTCTGTTCTCAATAGGATCGTTGCAGAGCAGCACAAGAACTTGACCGGCGTAACGATTCTAGCCACACCGAATCTGGTCTCATTGTCATCTGCTTCTCCGTTGATCTATGAAGTCGTGAGGCATCACATTCTCGTTCAGCGGCTTACCAACACAGATATTGCTTCAATGCCTGATAAAGCCTTACTCAAGACATTGGATCCATACCAAGATCTTGTGATCACAAGAAGAGATGCTGTGAATTCGTCTAGAGGTTTCACGATTTCTGGAGCTGAGATTGTAGCTCCAGATATGTTCTCTTCTTCCAACTTTGTCATCCATGGGATATCACACACTCTAGAGATCCCACGGCCATAATTCACTTTCACTAAGCATTTTTTTTTGCTGTTTCCATTGTAGTTACACAACATCCATATGATTCTTTATGCATATAATTTCAATAAACATGGCATTTCTCTACTTTTTTTTGAAACTCCTATATAAAAGTCCTAATAATAAGATAAATTATTAGTTATACATCTAGACATATATAACTAATGTTATATAGTAAATAATGATTCTATTGTTGTTATAAGTTTATAAATATTGTTTGACTCATCTTTCAAATTTATTGGTATGATATTTTTGAATGAATTTTATACTGTTGAAAATATATTTTTAATATATCTTGATAAACATTAAAAATTCGAACTAAAAATCTCTAAAAATTAATAAATTAATAATTAATTAATAATTTTATATATTAATAAAAAATTTAAGTTCCAACATTATTAATTTATAAAAATTTTACTGTAATTCATATATTTCATATATTCTGTTTCTCTAATAATTATACATGAATATTATCAGACTTCCAATATAATTTCCTTTTGTATAATTTTTAAACTTTTTTCGGGAATTTGTGAGGACTATATAGCCTTTTTGTGAGGAATAGCCTGTTTTGTGACTTCCTTCAATAGCATTAATGAAAAATCAGAGCTCCATACCAAATCAATAGCAAGATACAATTTGCTTAAACAAAGTACTCTTGTAATTCCATATATGAATGTAAATTATACACTTCCACATCAAGAAACAATTAAAAGACTGAGAATGTGGCCTTACATTACAAAACACCACAGAAACAATGCTCTTTTGGTATAATTACTTAACAAATATGCTGATCCGTTTTCCAAAGATAATGACGATGACATTCATAATGCTTACCTTTGGATCTATGGCGTCGTTTGAGCTAGAACAATGTCAGAATTCGTCAAAGTTCCCGAATCATCGCAATCGAGTTCCTCAAACTCTTCCATTATCCCAGCAATATCATTCTCATCAATCTTCCCCATTTCTTTCAATTTATATAATATAAACTCTGCAACTCTGCAAACACACATAAAAAACAAAGATAAGAAGAAGCAAAAGGAAACAAGAAGAGAGAATTTTTCAAATGTCTCACACGACGACTCCATCTCCATCGAGATCAGCTGCTTCGAGATCATTGTTTGTGATTCTCCTTGTTAAAACCCATTTCACTAACTCCATCTGTTTGGTCTCTGCATTAAGCTCAGCTACATAGAGGAAAAACTGAGCCAAACATATAGTGCTCATCAAGATCCAAAACACAGCGAAAAGGCGTCCGGTTCCAGAGCTAAAGCTCCTATCTCCATAACCCAATGTTGTAACGGTTGAACAAACACAGTAGAAAGCTTCAATAACCGGCATTTTCTCAAAGGTTGCAAGGAAAATCGTACCGAGGAGGAAGAGGACTACAAGAACCAGGAATGTCATATAGCATTTATGTCTCAACTTCGTATGCAACTCCTTGAGAACGTCTGTTTGACCAGAGGTTTTGCTCAAATCGAAAGCCCTAACAAGCAAAGTCTCTTGCTTCTCCACCAAGTAATCCGCTGCTCGGCTTAATAGGCGACCCACGAGGGCCATTCCCAAGAAGACAAACGCGCAAGCGAGTAGCCTCGAGGTGGAGCTACTAGGGACAAGATCACCATATCCAACGGTTGTCATCGTTACAACACAGAAATAGACGGCATCTAACACACCGTTGGTTTTATGACCGGAGATCTGGTTTCTCACGAGGTAGAAACAGAGAGTACCAATGGTTAGATACAAAACCAAGAACATGATGACTCGCATGAAATTCGGGTTTAGATCCCTGAACATTGGGATTTTACTAGGATGTGGTTCGTCGATTTTGACATCATCATCATCATCATTGTACATAGAATCACCACGAGGAGCGCTTCTACAGCGACGCAATTTTCTTTTTCGTGAAGAAGCTTTTGAGTTTTGGTTGAAGTCTTGAGCCTTGGGACCTAACTCCTCCGTAGATAACAATGGTTTATGAGCTGAATCGTTCGACATTCTAAAATCAAACCAGGTAAAGTAGTTTATAATATCTGCAGATCAATCAAATCTCATGTCAGTTCTTGATTTTAAGACCGAAAACGACGCAGACAACATAATCATTCACGGAAAAATAGAAACTGTGGGAGCATGAACCGACAATTGAAACTTGTAAGAAACAATGAGTCAGTACGAAATCTTATGAAAACAGAGTGTCAAAACAGACCAAACATTGGAAATTTCGAACAGAATATTCACAGAGGTTAGGAGCAGAGTCTGAGTTACAGTTACAGTCTACAGATAAGATTCGACAAGAATATTAAGACCCAGAATCCGAAACTCATGGAGGACGAAGAATTGAGACTTACACAGAATTAAGATTGATTGGAGAACCAAAATCGGGAATATCGATGTGCTCTGATCTCGCGATTGCTTCTGATTGATATTCTCACAGACACGGTGGGGGCCTTGGCCAATTATTCTCTTCAGTGCTTACTTCAATTTTATGTTTTTGTTATTTTTTCCATAGATTTTGGAATATGGACGTTTGGTTAATATAATATTTTAGTATTGAATAGTACAACGTTTTTTTTTATTACGAAGAGATTATATAAACCACAACTTAAATATAGTACTAAGAAAAACGATAGAAAATACCTATGTTTGACATGTATTACAGTTACGACCACAACTTCTTTTTTTTGTTTGTTAAAGAGTTGCAAGTTGCAACCACAACTTACAAGCCAATAATAAGTCATACATACAGTCATGCATAATTTACAGGCTAGAGCATACTATATTAGTCATTATCATTTCTTTCTCTCGTAATCAATAATTTATCTACCCATTTTCAATTAGAGACATTTACGAATTTAGACACTTTCAAAATTTTGTTTATGTATTATCTACCCATTTTCAATTAGAGACATTTACGAATTTAGACACTTTCAAAATTTTGTTTACGTATTATCTACCCATTTTCAATTAGAGACATTTACGAATTTAGACACTTTCAAAATTTTGTTTAAGTATTAAAGCATTTATGGGTACTAAGGCACTTTGCCTTACTTTTTGGTATATGAGATGTCTATTATATCCTTTTAAATTTGTAATAAAATTAAGTAAAAATTTAGACCACGATTGATAATAAAAACTTGTAATCTCCGCCTCCTTCTCCTTCTATTTTGTTCTTCCCTTTCTTCTGCTTCATCTCTCTTTTCTGGTTTTAATGAGATTTGATTTGTTAAAAGTTTCATGGTAGTCTTTGCCTCCTTCTCCTTCTTCTGGTTCTTCCTATTTTTATGCTTTATCTCTCTTTTCTGATTCTAATGAGATTTGTTTTTAGAAAACTCTGGTCTGCAAATTAAACAACATTCTAGATACTTTTATCGATATAACAAAGTTTCGACCAAGCGTTGATGGCAGTTAAGATAAATGATTGTTTCGAAACTATGTAGATGTGGTTCTAATATTTGTTAGACGAATCAATTGGAGATTTAAATAGATCATAAGGGATGATGAAATCAGAGATGTTTTCCTGTGCTGTTAGATTGGAGGAGGACAAAGGTCATGAGAATGGAAGACATGTAAAATATTGAGAGGTATATATGGATGAAGCTTTATGGATAATATTTGATGTGTACAATATTTTAAACACATGGATTAGGAATCGTGGATGGCTTTGGTTTGCGAATTGTGGACAAGATACTTGACACGACACATGGATTATGAATCATGGACAAGATACATGATATAGAATCGTGAGCGGTTTTGAATAGGCTAAGTGTGGGTGATGATATGGATGTGTAAATATGGATGAAATTTTATGGATAGTATTTTGATAATGTGTATAATAGTTTGAACACATGGATAACAAATCATGGATGCGTTTATATAAAAGAATTGTATTGATGGTGTTTAGATGATGTAATATATGACGGCTGTAGAAGTTTTTTTATATTAGATCGTAGGTGAGATTCAAGAAATTTTGGTTGGAGTTACGTCTTCTCATCTGCATCAATGGAGCGAAAAGATTTAAGTGTATCCTCCTAACTGAAACCTTGACCAATTTATATTGTCCAAGTAGATAGATAATTTGGTAAATTCATGAATTTATTAACAATTTTCTATTGTACATATGAATAGAGAATTTTTGAAAATAAATTCTGATACTAAAAAATTTCAGGTTATCTTTGTATCAACTTGGTTGAAATTAAGAAGTTCAAATGTAAGAATCATGACTAATTATAATAGACAATAAATCATGGACATTGTCTGAAGTTAATACTATAATGCAAAACATAGTTCTGAAGTTAATCCTCCTTCAGCGTTTGCAAGATGCTACTTCTTATCATCAACCATAAATATTCATGGTCATGTAAATTGGTCTCTGTCCAAACAGCTCCTGCAATGGCATAATGCATTTAGTATTTTTTAAAGTAAATCAAAAAGCTACCGATAATCAAAATATGTAAGAGACTTAAGAAGACAAATAGATAAGCAAATATGGATGAGTGTTCATAGCAAAATATCAGAGGTATTGTGGATGAGGTGTTGTGGATGAGTTAACGAAACTATAATGTAAGAGAATTACATATGTATGAAAATCTACTGACCAATAGACCAAATTGATGAGTTAGTGAGGATCAAAGATTTTGCTATAAATTTAAACATGTATGACTATAATGTTTGAGAATGGTGATAACAAAAAAAATGGATGGATGACCATATGTGGAGCATAGATCTGTTTTTACTGGGATTATAGACAATCGTAATATGTAAGAAATCTAACTGAACAAATGAATGCACAAACATGGATGAGCTAGCTGGTAATGAAAATACTTTGAATGCATGCAAAAACATGAACAAGAACAAAGTAAAACTGAGTTAGTGGTTTGCCGATTCCTCTACCAGAAACTAGTTCAAATGAAAAATAGATGACGAAGCATTGACCTAATGGATTAGCATTGCATAAGCTTGATAACGTAAATAGTGATTTTTTAGCAGAGCTAGTAAACAAACAAAAACATAATTTGTTTTTATTAAAGCTAAATTACTATAGGGATGTATATGGATGGCATGGATGGTTGGCTTAGATGGATAGCTTATATGGATGACTTAGATGGATGATCTAAATGGATGGGATAGTTGGATAGTCTAAATGGATGCTCTATATCGGATCTAATGGATGCGACATGGTGGATGCATAAATGAAATCAAATCTTATTGAACAAACCCTATAAATTAGTGAGAGCAACGGCTCAAAATGGATGCACCATATACATTACCTACATGGATGCACAATATACTTACCTATATGGATACACCGGATGGATGAGTTAGATATCATGTACATGTGAATGCTAGATTGTGGATGTGAGATGGATGTGAATCTGAGTGAACAATGCATAGATGCACCGGATGGATGAGTTATATGCGATATTCATGTGAATGCTAGGTTGTGGATGGGAGATGTATGTTAATCTGAATATAGTACCCTACGTGGATGCTCCGGATGAGGTAAATCCCATGAGCAACAGTGAGAACCCGTATGGTGGATGATACTGACTACATGCACCATATACATTGTATATATGGATGCATCAAATGGATGAGTGAATATGTACGCAAAATATATATAAATGAAGCCTATATGGATGCACCGGTTGGATGAGTTAATGATGTTGATGTTATAGATGAATGTGAGATTGTGGATGGGATATAATCTGACTAATGAAAATAAGTGATAAAGACAAGTGGATGAGATATGGCGAAAGCATAAATTAAATTGGGACATGGTGGATGAGATGAGATGGATCTGTAATTGAATTAGGGAAAAGTGAATTAAACCGAACCCTAGTAGTTGAAAGAGTCGAAGAAATACTAGGATTGTTAGAGGAAGATTGACCTGCTATTCCGATGTAATTGCAGTAAGAAGTGCTTTGTGTTGCTATTTCCGGCCACCGGATATTGCAATCTTGCGGTTTTGTAGGTTCAGATTTAGGGTTTGGACCCGTTAAGCAGAGGCGGCGTTTTAGAAGGTGGTGGGAGAGTGCGACGTAGATAATTTGAAAAGATGAACGAAAAAAACTGGATTGGAAATTAGGTTGACAAGGATTCAACGGCGGTGACGATCAATGTTTCAAATTGCAATTCATAGGAGGAGTTGATTCGGTGATGTAAAGCTATAATTAAAGTATTAGTTTCAGGATGTTGAATGTTAACGAAGAGAAAATAGGAGATAACAATTGTAGGGGTATACGAGTCTTTTTCTATGTCGAAAGTGTGCTTATATAATGAAGTGCCTAAAATTGTTATTCCACTCTTTGGAAGTGCCTTGCATTGTAAATTTCTCTTTCAATTATTAGTTTGTCATTTAATAATGCGGTACACAATTTGTCCATTTTTTTTTTGTTTGTCAACATATTTCCATTAGGAAAAGATAAAGCAACATTACAGCCAGTTTACAATATGACTAGTATTTTTACAACAAACATCTTTTGCTAGATTATCAGCTATGACAATCACATTTCTAGGAACTTTCCTAAACTTAAAATTACACTAGACGTTATCTTGTAGATATCCTTTATATATGTAGAAAGTGTACAGTGTTCCTCCGTTAGTGTATGGGAAGAGGCATTGATCTTGTTAAAGAGATTAGCAGAGTCAACACAGAAGGTGACATCTGGATATCCTAATCTCTTTAGTTGAAGAGATGCCATGCGTAAAGCTTCAGCCTCAGCTTCCAATGGAGAGTTTGTAGGCTCAATTGCCGAATTGCCTTGAAGGATGGGTACTCCCGACAATTAAAGAGAACCTATCCTATTCCTGCTGGTTGATAGATTAAGACCTATGAGCCATCTACAAAACAACAAAAGCCATTGGTTTCTTAGAAAATAATTTCTGGTGTAATAATAGCCGAAGGCAGCTGTTGTGATGAATGACTTGATGATCATCTAACTTGAGTGAAACATTCCTTATGTTCTTATCAAGAAGCGCCTTATTAATTAGGATTGGAATTAGATCTCTTCTATTGTGAAACATCAGATTTTTCCTCATTTTCCAATTGTGTCATCCAATAAAAAGGAAATAAACATACTTTTTTATTTGAATGGTTTTCGAAAGCAAGAGGAGATTCTAGATTTTCAGGTAGCGATTGGGATGGTGGAATGTTACCCGAGCTATAGGGAATATGCGCTTGCTCCCACATTTCTCTACTCACTCTGCATTGGAAAAGCAAGTGAGTGATTGTCTCTGGATCTTCTCCACACAATTGGCATGTCGAGTCAGGAATCATCTTCCGTCTTTTCAAAAAATCTGCAAGAGGGAGAGCATTATGAAGATACTTCCACAAAAATGCTTAATTTGGGGGGAGGGGGGGGGGGGGGATATTAAGTCTCCAAATTTGTTTAAAGATTAGAGAGCGCTGGGAAGGAGTAAAGCCAGAAACTTCAAAATGCGATGAATGGGGAGCATTCATGCATATAGTAGAGTAACCTGACTTCACCGTATAATTACCATCTTTACTGTAGCACCAAGAAATTGAATATTTTTCCCCCATAACCGAAGGTCTTATCTGTTTGATAAGATTCACATCCTCTCGGAAAACGACTTGCTCAAAAAGGTTCAGGTTCCATGTCGAAGTGTTTGGATAAAGCAAGTCACTGACTGTCATGTTTGGGCAAGAAGAAGAACCAATTCCTGCAGCAGGGCGGGGATGATTAGTCGGGAGCCAATTATCTCTCCATACGTTGATTCGCTTTCTGTCAGCCACTATCCATTTCAAGCCATGCAAGATAAGTTTAGTACCTTACATTATGCTTCGCCATGCACGACTTGAGTTATGCTTTACAGTGGCGTCAAACAGTGATACTTTAGGGAAGTATTTGGATTTAAAGACTTAACTAAACAGAGAGTCAGGTTGTTGTAGCAGTCGCCAGCTCTGTTTAGCAACCATAGCAATATTGAAATCTCTTAGGTCCCTGAAGCCCAGGCCTCCAGCATGTTTTGGATCATTGAGTTTGTTCCATGCAACCCATGAAATTTTATGTCTTTCTTTGCAAGTAGACCACCAAACTCTTCTAATTAAACATGTGAGCTGATTGGTGACCTTCTTGGGTAGCATGAAACATGACATACTGTAGGAAGGGAATGCCATTGCCACCGCTTTAATCAGGACCTCCTTACATGCAGGAGAAAGGAAATGAGAATACCAGCTGTCTGTTTCTGTGAGATTCTCTGCTTAAGGAAGGAAAAGGTCTCAGACTTATTTCTGCCTATAAATTCCGGAAGACCCATATATTTTCCAAAACCATCAGTGTTTTTTATTTCCAGTAGGTTGCTAAGAGATCTCCTAATATTTGAAGAGAGGCCTTTACTAAAGGTAAGAGACGATTTTTGGAAGTTTACTGATTGGTCCGACATCCTTTCATAAGTTTTTAAAACGTTAAGATAAGCAAGGCATTCTCGTTCCTCAGCTTTACAGAAAAGCAACGAGTCATCTGCAAACAGAAAATGAGAGATTGGTGGCCCACTCTGGGAGGCTTTGAAGCCATGAATAGCTCCGCGATGAGTATTATGCTGAATTAAGGCAGATAGACCCTCAGAACATAATAAATATAGATAAGGAGATAGAGGGTCACCTTGGCGGATACCTCGCTTGGGTTTGATGTTGCCTTCTGGCTGCCCATGGATTAGGATCGAAAATGAGACAGTTGATATACATTTCATGATCCAATTGCACCATTTATCTGCAAAACCCAGCTTTCTTTGTATGGCTTCTAAGTAGTTCCAATTAACTTTATCAAACGCCTTACTTATATCTATTTTAAGAGCCATATAGGGTTGTGTTCTACGCCTAGCGTGCATGGAGTGCATCAGCTCGTGCGAGATGGGGATATTATCCATGATTAGCCTACCATGAATAAAAGCAGATTGATTTTCAGATATTATTTTATGGATCCATGGTTTAAGCCTATCAACTAGGACTTTTTAGAGGATTGTGTACGCTACATTGCACAAGCTAATAAGTCTAAAATCTTTGGGCCCTTGGGGGTTTTTTTTTGGGATAAGGCAGATGTGAGTGTGATTAAGGTTGGGATCCAGTTCATTATTATCAAAAAAAGCTTGAGCAAATTTAACCACACCTGAGCGAAATGTAGACCAATGGTCTTTGTAGAAGCCTGGGTTGAGTCCATCCGGTCCTGGTGCTTTATCCCCGTCCATCTGCGAGAGGGCTTGATAAAGTTCTGCTTCTGTGATCGGCTTCGTTATAGCTTCGTTCATTTTATGATTGACTTTTCTCTTGACATGCTGGAGTATGCCATCAAGATTTCTGCAGGGATTTGACATAAAAATAGGGTCAAAGTAGTCTATAATAATTCGATGGATATCCTTTTCAGATTTCTAGATTTGACCATTAGCATCTACAATAGAAGTAATTCTGTTCAAGCTTCTCCTCTGTTTAGTTTTAGCATGAAAGTACCTTGTATTTTTATCTCCTGATCTTAGCCAATGAATACGACTCTTAGTCCTCCAGTATTCTTCTTCCATTCTGTATTCATTCGCTAACTCAGTTTTCAGTAAGCAAATATAATGAAAATCAGGAGGGATGATCATACGCTTGATGGATAAGAAGCTTGAGCTCATTAATCCGCTTAGAGGAGTTTGTGGGATGTTTAGACTTCCATTAAAAGAGGCAAGACCGGCATTTCTTCAAGCTTCATTAAACTTAGAGCCTGGCAGGTCTTCACACTTTGAAACCATATATTCTTAAGTTCTTCTTTGATTTCCTTATTAAATCTCTACAGGTTGTCATATCTGAACAAGCTATGTCCTTTCCACTTCTTTTCTCCAGTATGAACTAGTAGCGGACGATGGTTGGATCCAATCCAATCAAAGAGTTGAACATAAGCTCTAGGAAAGGAATCTAACTAATCTGCAGTAGCCATATCTCGATCTATCTTGGATTTGACTTTATATTTATATCTCTGGCCCATCCAAGTAAACTTACCTCCAAGATTTCTAAGATCGTGGAGGTCTGTGGAGTTGAGCAGTCTTCTAAAAGTAGTGAAAGAACCTTCTGATATTTTGGGACCTCCTTGTTTTTCTGCGTTGCTTTTGATGTCATTGAAGTCACCAAGGACCAACCATGGCTTACTACTATAGAAATCCGCTTCAGCATCAGATAACATTTTGTGCCATAGGGAGTTTCTTCTAGTTGTATCTGGATTGCCGTAGATATAAGTGAGGGAAAAGATAGGACTTCCTGGATCAGAGATATTTACATATGTGCAGTGCATCATCGGCTGAGCTCGGAAGCTTAGTTTCATTGCATCGCTCCAAAAAATTGCTAATCCACCACTTAAACCGTCCGATGGAATAACAAAACTGTGGGGATAACCGAGATCTTTACTTAAACTATTGACATAGTTAAAACCATTCTTATTTTCGGTGAGGAACATGATATCAGGTTTAGAAGACTTCCTGATATCTTTAAGGTAAGGAATTGTCAGACCGTTTCTCTTAAACCCCTGAAAATTCCAGTGTAATATCTTCATGGCTCGTTTGGTGATTTTAAAGCACCCACCAGGCCTGTGACATCAGTGTTTTCAGTTTTTCATTGACGGTTAGCGGGGCCAAAGTCTTCAGGTTCAAGGGATTCTATTTTGCGCTTAGATCCTTTGTCTTGATAAGAAGAAGAGCCTGATTCTGTAAGAGCAGCTGTCTGAATATGAGCCAAATTTTGAGCGTATTTGCTGCTCTGGTAAAGGAGCAGTGGAGTAATGTCTGTGAAATAGTCATCTGGATAGATATCATCTTCCCGCTGACCTTCTTCACCAGCTTCTTGCTTTGTTTCTGCAGGATCCTTATCAGTATGAGTACTAGTGTCAGTATTAAGTTGTGTCAGTTCTTGGTGATGGGTATTCTTCTTGTTAAGCTGCTCTACAACTGGGATTAGGTCTTCCTGTAAGATTGGAGCTGGAGGAGCGTGTTGATTTGGTGGGGGAGCAGGGGGATTTTGGGATTCTTCATGAGTGATCATCCCACATCTCATGCAGAACTTCTTCAGACGTTCGTAAATGAATCAGATTAGTACAGGCTCTGCTCTTTCAAATTGGATATATCTTGCAAAGATGAGGTGTTGATGAATATTGATCTTGAGTCGGACCCATACTTTAGAAGGATTGTCCTTTGTAGGCTCCACAATACGCAGTCCTTCAATTTGTCCCATATGACGACAAATGTCTTCAACAACATGCCTATGTCGGTATTCATTTGGGATACCAAAGATCTGGACCCAGAACGATATTGACTGAAGAAAGTATGGTTAGAGTCTTTGAGTCCAACGATCTATGATGATCATCCAGTCTTTGAAGGACAATGGGCCCCTTTCAATAACTGAGAGGAGTTGATGCTCCTCTTGAAAGTAAAACTGAATAGTGCCACCATCGTTGATTTGGCCTTGAACACGGTTGTGGAGCCTCCAGGCTTTTGGAAGGGTGTTTTTCATCTAAGCGAGATTTTGATGTGAAGGGTTGAGTTCGCGAACGATTAGGCTGAGCCGATTGTCTCTTGCGTTGTGCCTCCTGATGTCACTAGATAACTGGAGAGGCTGCAAAGCGGATCCTAAGTTCAATTGCTGCATAGAATGCCACAGATCACGATCCATGCTGGTTGATGTAGAGATTTAATTTGAGATTTGATGGATAACCTAACAGAT